AGCTTTGTCAAGATGGTTAATCCGTCCATCTCAGCCACAGCGACATCCGCCGTAAGATTCTTGCTGGCTTGGCCTACTTGTGAGGGTATGATAACATACATTGCTGGTTGCACCACTAAAAGATGCAACAGTCGGATTTAATTTAGGCGGATAGGTAAATTGGATTCGTGCTTGGTCACATCGGTCAACGTGGCTGGTGAATCCAACTATTTTTGTTGGTTCTCACGGCTTTTTACTTTTCAACCATACCGCATTAGCTGTTAGAGACAACCTATTTTTTTCCGTGTAGTATCGTTTTTGAAGCGGGAAGCTCAAAAAACCGCAAATTTCTTACGCAGATTGTGAAGTTATGAGTGCATTTCAGAGTTTGCCGATGCGCTCATCGTGATTTTTGAGGCATTATCTATAAGAAACAACTCTTAGTTTTGCTCTAGCAAAAGTTTGCAACAGGCCCATTGTACTAATGCATTTTTTCCAACTGAAATTCGTTCTAACTCCTATGTTAAAAAATAACATGCCTCGCAATGATATAGGTTAATATAATGGGATTTTCTCCTAGAAACCAATATAAGCTGCAAAATTTGATCGGAAGCTTTCCTTCACTCATGTTCAAGTTTCAATTACAATCGGGAAAATTACTCTCAGGAAAAAAGTCAGTAGCACATCTCATTTGTAGGACTTACTAAAATGGGACAAGAAACTAGTAGGAAAACAGAATTATAGGAGACTGCATGGTAGGAAAAACAGTTTTAGGAAAAATGGCCTTGCACTAGGTAAATATGTTGTTATAATCAACGCAAAACATATTCTCATTTTCCTTATTTGTATTTTAACCGTTGATTTGGGTCAAACAAATATATTTGTTCATACTTTTAAAGTTATTCATGATGACCGTGAACCAGAGGGTTCCCTGAATTCTGACGTTTGTAAAAAACAATGCTATCACATGACCGCTTGTTTACCATAGCCACGCCGTCTTTTCCCGCGGATTGAATTTTAATATTTTGTTTATCAAATACCGTTTGCCGGAAAATTTTACTTTCGAGATGGTGTTGAATCCTTCGCAAAAACACCGGAAGCATATTGTTGGGGAAAAAAGAACAACGCAGGTTTAATTTAGTCGGAAAAATATTTTATCCCAAGTCTGGTTGCGCATCGAACTTAAATCTTACGTCACGGTTGCCAAGTTCCCTCGACTTTCCTCGAGCGGATTTCAAATTTTTGCATAAGCAATGCATGCACCCACGGTTACGGAGCAATGTGGCACTGATCCCAACGCAAACGCCTAAAAACCTCTCGAGACTCGAGTGAAATATTTCATTTTCTTCCCTCTGTAGACTTTGGAACCTACTTTCCCCGTGTGTTTGAGCTGCCAGACTGAAGTGACTGATATTGTTCATTTCGATGCAACAAAACAGGCGCGGAGTAAAGGTATAGAGTTGAAGGGTGAGAGGGGGTGTGAAGGGAGAGAGGGGAGAAATTGAGGGTACGGGGGGCTCGTTTCCATTCGACTACAGAGTAGAGGGCCTTGATAGTGCTCGTGACCTTATATGTAGAGGTTCTCCGTAAAATCGATCTCAGCGATTTGCGTAGCTGATTCTCACAGGCTTAAGTCTACGAAAGGGTATTATTTACGGGAATTTTGTACGTTACAATGGGAAAAGAGACCAGGTTCACTGGGGCACACTTTTAAGCTCAGAAAAAAACCGTTCTTCTGAAGAGTTGCTCCAGTGAATACGTACAAACCGTACCCAGACTTATTGGGTTGAAAAATATGATTTTGAAATTTCGACGAAAAACACCCTTTTTGTGTCTATGTGAGTCGTTACGAGAATGTCAGTTCCAATTTTTGTTATTTGAGGGCTTAAACTTGCACTATGGTCTGAAAATTTTACAATTTTATAGTGGCAGATTAGAAATTCAAAAGGTTTTTTTCTTTCTTTTTTTTCTTTTCATTTTCTTTTCTATTCTTTCCGAAGCAGCTTTTTGTATACTGCAAACCTCATACCACTAGTAAAAGGAACTTCAGTCTACTGAGGCAAAATAATAAGTTGAGCAACTTGTTTTGAGTGGGGTCGAAACGTCGAATCATGATTTTTGGTGTATAGATATCTTTTGATGAGTGGGAATGTACAAATTAAATGTGGGACCCAAGTCTTTTACCCCTACGAAGTGTTCTCTGAGATCGGGCTGCGTAGTAGCAGAGGAGGAACTTCGGGGCCCTCTTTTTGACGTATTTCTACCATGCAAACAGAACTATGTATAGGTGGAAAAGATTGGGTGGGCTCGTTAGTTCTCGGGAGGTGAGAATGCATGGGAATCATAAAGCGCCAGTGACGTCAGCGCCAACGAAGCCGTATCCGTTGTTGCCCTTACTCCGCTTTAAGGTATGAGCATTGTCTACAACGCTCTTCTGCCATATCCACGGCCCATGAATCCCGCATTCCGTTGGCACATAGTTCTATTCGCTGAATTTAAAATCCCAATTTTCCATTTCACCGAAAATGAACCACGCCCACCGATCTCATCATTTCTTATTATATTCACTTCGCCACGAGTACACCCCATCTTTCCCATTCACACATAGTTCTGTTTTGTAGAAATCCGTCCAATTAATGTACATAAAATTTCATTCAATTATACCATGAACTTCCTACATCACTCGTTCACGATTTTCGCCACACCGAAAAAATAGGATGCTGACTTAACATTCCGGATGTAAAAACGTGTGCGACAACTCACAAAACGCCGAGTTAACCACCATAACAGTTAGCTTACATCCTGACAATGCTATAGTAACTGCTGTAGCGCCTAATTCAGCGTTTTGTGAGTTGTCAGACACTTTTTCACATCCAGAATGTTGAGCATCTTTTTTTTTTCGGTGCAGTTAATGACTTACAGTGATTTCAGTCGTGCACAATCAGTACACAGAACCGAATATGGTATTGTGTTGAGATAATCGTGGTTAAAACCAACATCGCTACTATTCTTTTGTGCTGGTTACATGCTCAAATTCCCATCAATTTTCGATCAAATGGTGACTGGTGCGCACCATCGACCATTAAATTCCTGCAGCCTGCAAAAATTTGATGGTAGATGATAGAAATGTGGCATCCTTCATCTGATTTCCACACAACCGTGCTTATTTCATGCTTATTTCAATCAACACGCTGTTTTAATTAATTTTACTCATCAATCTAGATAACTATCGACCGCCATCTTGGTCATCATTTTGATCGGAATTTGACGGAAATTTGAGCGTGTAACCAAACCATTTGGGAACGCAAATTGGGCTTTTACCCTTCATCGAAGCCGCATCGATCCACCGCTTGGAGCGCTAGGCTCAAAGTGGATAAAAACAGAGGTCCTCTTGAATGGGGACAAAAACTCGTTTAATTACGGAGAGAACATTTTTCAGGGGGAATACCTAAACACTTTTTAATTACTTTAATTAAAAGTATTCTTCATTATTAAGAACTTCAATCACTCAGCCGAGAAAAGTTTATTTTCAGAGCGGGGAAGTTTCCGAGCTGAATCTTGATTTGGAAAACTGAGGCTTGCGCGATCATGCGGCCCGACCAAAATTTGTGTCAATGCCACGTTGCCATCTCAAAAGTGATATTCGCCCATTTTTTGCGATTAAATGAAACATGATCTGTTTTAAAGGGAAAATAATTTTCTGCATGCATATAAAAACAAAATTTTCAGCTTTAATTTGACAAATTATATTTAGAAATACATCCACTTGCTCGATAATAATCTACTTAACGCTTCGAAAACTCTCTATGATAAAGCAATGGCTCGTTTAACATGGAAAGGCTGTCTAGGTTTCCAATTTTCAGCTTTTTCTTTCACCGATTGATAATCTCATTATCCTGCATTTAAATGGAGAGGAAATTTTTCTTCACCACGGAGATAAAATCGATACCTACATTTTCGATCCAATATCACCGAATCTCTTCGAGGTAGAATAAGATGTAAAATAATTTACGTATGAAAATACTGAATACATTGAATGAAGAAGATAGGAAGAGTTACGGAAAAAGAGCTAGAATTCCTCGCAGAATGGCATCACTGATTTGCCCCTAGCTCTCGAAGAGATTGACACCATGTGAGCGTTTCAAGAAAAGTAATTTTGTTCGACTCAAGAATAATCACTGCTAGAATTCTTGGAAGTTGGAAGCCTATTATTATTCAAGGGGATCGTGGCAGGGGGAGTAGTTGAAGTTTAATTTCTTTGTGGAACTTAAACAATGTCTCTGAGCCTCTCTAGGTTAGAACTAGTCGTTATTTCTGTGATTCAATCGGGATTAATGAAAAAGTTGATGGGAGAGAGGGCTTTGAACAGAGACACATTAATACCTTAAAATTTCACCCTCTTTCTTTCTCATTTACCAGTCAAAACGTATCATTACCGGAGCATTATTCAAAACAGCATTATTCTGAGAATATATTCGTCTTCTTGCAGAAATCTTCTCTTGCCACAAGGAGAATTTGAATGTCCGAGCATTGGCGGATCTAGCAAATTGGCAACACTGTCTGCTCTCCGTTTCAACCTACGGAAATGAATCGATTCTTGCAGGGGCCAGGTGCTCCAACAAGAATCGATTATTTAGCATAGGTTCAAATGGAAGAAATCCGGTGTTGCCAAATTGCTGGATCTGCCTCTGTGTACGAGCGTTCTTTTTAATGAAAGATAAGAAGGGAAGGCTTGTTTCTCATTAAAGAAAAAGTTTATGATGATTAAGGGGGTGGGTGTCAAATGGAGGTCCTTTAAAAATTCTAAAGGCGGGGAAGGGGGCGGCGTCACATATTGTTTTTAGAGATAGGTAAAACGTTACATTTACTATCGTGGTGGTGGACATCACATGCTGTGTCGTGTGAAAAAAATGGACACCTTGTTTTTTATTTTATGATAATACTTTAGAACACATGAATTATATTCGTTTTGTAACTTTTTTGTTGTAGATTTGCCTCTCAATCTTTCCACCCGGATAATTTCGCAGCTGATTCTCTCATAACTTCAATCGTAAGTTTCTTCAGATTTTTGAAGCATTTTCAAATTTATTCATGACACTCATCGTAGGAATTTCTATTCCAGTTCTTTTCTGTCCGTAAAAATCGAAATCACTTATGGATGTCATTTTCTGCGTTGATGCAATGGAACAAAACATAGTTTAAGGATCAAAAGGAAATTGCCATCATCAGAAAATCAGGGAGAAAAAGGACATGAAGGAAAATAACTAAAAAGACGAGAAGATATGGAATAAGAGTGAAGAAGAATTCAGAAGGAAAAAAAATTAAAGGAAAAGAGGATGGATAATAAAAGCAGAGAGGTACAATAATAAAAAAGAGGGATAGAAAAAAGAGAAAATTTCTTTTCTTTCTTCTTTTATCCTTGTACTCGTTCTTCTGTCTTTTTCCCCTCTCCCTTATCTTTATTTCCCTTCCTCTCTCCTGCTTTGCAAACGTTGACTGTAAAACAGATTACAGCTCTCTCACATGCCTTGGCATATCTGATTTCCGACCAATTGAAGAGGCATACGCTGTTGAGCTAGCACTTTCAACTTTGTACTCCATGCATTGAGGTAACATTAAAGTAGAAAATCCATTACCTCTGGAACATTTTTTAGAAGTTCACCTGGTCAAAAAGTGCACGCTTACTTATCATATGCCTATTACTTGAAATAGGCTTAGTTCAGAAATTCATGGCAGGTACAACTGACTACGCAATAGAAATGGATTCTCATTTTATATATGACGTCACTGAGGATGAATATACAGCCGAGGCTTTCAATATTAAAAATTTACAACCAGCAATTTTGTCAGTCTTATTCAGTATGGCTGGATTTTAAGCGGTGTCGTGTTTGCCGAGGAACTCGTGATTACTATTTCGAATGAAACTGGTAAGTCAAAATTTACCAGGTGGGCCGAGAAACTTGTTTGTCGGTCAAGTCTTTTGGTTTCATTTATAGTTCATTTCATGGAAAAGGTATTAGGAGACCGGATCGATCGAACACTCATTTGTCCCACGATTTTCAACCATGGATGAAAGAAAGGCTCTATTAATAAAGAGTTCTAAGAAAAAATACTGGAAGGAATTGCTCGTCTAATGCAACTGAAACATAGTGTTAATTTTTCGGCGTGATCGAAACGTTTTTTGCTAAAATGTATTTGTGATACACGCAGTTGGTTAAATTGACAGAGTCCGGACACTGGACAACTTTTGTGTCCCATTTGTGGACAGATCCCCCCCCCCCCCCCNTTTCGTTGCCCACGCCACGGATTGACCAGTCAACATTTTGACCGAAACTCTAGTAATAATCGACCCGTTTTAAATTGTAGGTTTTATTATAATCTGATTAAAGAATAAATAACTTTAATATTTCTAGGAAGTGAAATTTAGATCGAACTGTTTGAAAAAATTTCTACTGTTCTCCTCGAACTTTAATTTCTAGAACTTGGGTCGTTTTTAGAACGACCGATTCAAATCGGTTATTTTCTCGACCTGACCGCGAGTTAGCTTTAGAGGCATCTATTCGTGTTTCATGGTCGTGTCTTGCGTTTCACATATGTTTAAAATTGAAGGCACTTTCGCTTGGCAAACTGTTTAGTGCTTGGGTGCTTCAATAAGTTTGATTTTTTTTTTTTTTTTTTTTTTTTTTTTTTTTTTTTTTTTTTTGGTAGAGACCGCTCGGTGTTTATATTTTTCTGATAGAACTGAGAGTGTGAGAATATGAGAAGTCATATACAAATTTTACATGTGTAAGTCCATCATGTTAGATTGTTATCGAATCATCAGTCCATTTCAAGGTCTCACCTTTTTTCGCTTCTGAAACTAAATGACTAGTAAACATTTTTTCGTAACAAATCTCAGCACTGCAGATTGACCTAGATTGGAGAAATAACACGGGTGGATCAATTTTTCCAACACGTGTCTACACTAACAACATTCGTGAATGCACTCAATTTCATACTAAGTGTTTACAATCTGAAAGTATCTGCCACATCATACACTGTATGATTACAACATACAAAGTCAATTTTGTGAAACGAGGAAAAAAAAACGACTACCGATTGCGAAAACGCAAACTTCTTGCCACACTTTGTTCTTCAAGTGAGGAAGTATTCAACGGCTTTTCCTGAAAATACAACAAGTAAACTGAAATACTGTCATTATTACACGTGGAACTGCTATACTTTTCTCACTTACCGAAGGCGGTCACTCCGCCTAAAATAAACCTAATGCCTCTCTATATGCTTTTCTTACTTCGAGCAAACGTATTCATATGTGTTCGCGACCAAGGAAACAGGTAAATTTTAAAATCGGTCCTGCCGAGTATTCTGACATTCGAAAGGTGAGACAGATTGCAGGAATTTATTTTACGTGTACAAGCAGTATATATTTCCTTTAGCATGCATCAATAGATTGTCAGCGCTTCTATCAATGCCACGTTTTGGATCTGGAAGGACAAGTAAGTAATCACGATGACTGATAGTTGGGGAGAATGAAGGGTTAGCCAATCAGTTTTTGAAAAAAATAACGAGAGTGCATTATCACAAATCGTGTGCTGCGTTGAAAATATGAAAAAAATTACTTATGGCTGTAGAATTTTCAAATCACCGATGATCTATTTTTTTTCTTTTTCTTTAAACAAGTTGACGTGGACCGCATTTTAGGAGGGTACATGTGAACATCTCAGTATGAGAATAGCCTCCGACCCAAAGATGAATTTTTGGCCATGGACTTGGGCCAAAATTTACGAAAAATATTACATCAGCCTCACTCCATTGAAGTAATACCGGCCCTTTTCGATCATGCATCAAAGTTCCACACTGTGCTCGTTAATTTCTGTATCAATTATTTTGATCTCTCACACGTCTAGAGCTTTTTATCTGCCTAATGACAGAGCAGAGGAGCACGTAGTCTCATCTGCTATTAAAATATGCAAAATGACTACCAAACTATCTGGAAAAGGTCTCTTTTACGTCATCAGTACAAGGCTGGACTTTCCGGTTCAAAACCTCATTCAAAATTTACATGAGAATATGATTGAAACTGTGATCATCACTCATCATTCTAGGTTGAAGCATTCAATACATGGAAGCGTAACTAAAAATATTTTCATATTTCTAAACGATTTGGACGAAATTCTAAGTTTTATTTTGGACTCGTCAATGAAATTCGATGAAACCGTAGACTTAGCACCGCGTAAGTTGAAAAAATTGAACCATTACTGTATCCAAAACGATTTGTTTGATTTCGATTTCACAGCAGTCAACAGAACATGCGATTTCAGCTTGCGCATCAATCGGGCTGATTTGAAAGGTGCAATCGACTTAGCTGATCCTGTTGTTGAACATACCAAAGGTCTTTTCGCAAACAGTGTTTGGAACTCTATAAACTATATCACGTTCTTTTTGCCCACCATAAAAGACAAAAGAAATACCGCTGTATCCGTTAGTCTCCGTTTGGAGTTCCTCTTTAAATTTTTCTGGCGTTTTTTCAAAGGGCTCAAGACAGTTGTTTGCCTCGAGAATATATGCTACAAGTATGACCCGTTCATAGATCTCATTTCACAAGTAGACATAATCAATGAAAATTATTTCACTTTCGCTCCGGATTTAAGAGGGAAAATTCTCAGTATCGGGTACGTCTCAAAAGAGGACGTCTTCAAGAGTGGTGGGGCCATAAACCCTGCATCATTTGCGATTATAAGCCACGCCGCCGATGACGTTGAAAAAAAATTACAATGTGAGATCATCCTTTATGGCCGTTTTAAAGAAGTACTTAAAAATAACGCATCGATGGATTATTTTCAGAATGCTCAATCAAACGATTTTGATATGCTCGTCTTTGATGGCAGCATATCTCCGTACGAAGACTTCTCCATGTTCGATTTTTCCGCCGCCATTCATTCCTTCTCTTACTGTTTCGCCACCCCACGTAGCAGTTTCGTGCCACAATCATTTTTACTATTCATCTGCTTTTCACCTCAAACCTGGGTAGTTATCATCCTGACAATCTTGTCACTGTACGTATCTTTCTATGCTTATCATCGCTCGCAATTGATGCTATTTGACGGACTCTACTCAGAAATAGAGCAACGTGCTTTCGCTAATACTCCTGTGTCGTTTTATCTTTATTCGTTCTTGGTGGTTGGGAGTCCATCGAGGCTATTATTGGGCCGAGTAACCACCGGGAAGATGCTGTTTTTAATCGTTTCTCTTTTTGTCTTGGTTATCATCACGGTATATCAAAGTGAGATGACAAACTTGCTCTCAAAAGAAGTTCGGTACCCAGAGATAGATACATTAGAGGATCTAAAGGATTCAGACCTCACGATACAAACACCAGACCTTGAAGCATCTTTGGAACTCCTCCAGGACTATCCCTTCTACGATGCCATCAAGACTAAATTAAGCGAAGGATCGTACTATTATCGAGACGTCTTGAATGATTACGTTCAAGAACAAATGGAAAATTTTACGGACATCTACGTGCCCATTGCTCAAAATATTTCACATGCCAATTTGCATCCATTAATAAGGAGATTTAATGATTTGAGATATAATTTTCAATCGATCGTAACATCAAACGCCGTTGAGCTAGGGGTTTCCGATTTGTACCACAAGATTGAGGGTAATATCAAACTGGGAGATCCATTGCTGCCAAATAACTTCGCAGAATTTCACGTGGTTAAAGAATGCATGCTCACTTACCCTTTGGCCCTCCAAGTTCAAAAGAATTCTTACCTTTCGGATTTTCTCATTGAGGAGCTAAGATCATACGTTGAAAAAGGCTTAGTTCTGAGATTGTTGGAGGATACTTGCTTTTACCCGGAGATAAAGTGTCAATATTCCATAAAACATGTCACTGAGGACGATGACTCTCCAGCATTCGCGTTCACTATTGAAAATATGCAGCCAGCATTTGTCAGTCTCATCACAGGTTGGATTTTAAGCGGTGTCGTGTTTGCCATAGAGCTCATGGTTGATATTTTGAACGAAATCGGCAATCCAAGGTTT